AAATATTTTTATTTTTTAAAGAAAACATTCAATTCATTTAAAAAAAACATGATCGATTATCTATAATTAAATAATGGATTATGTGATAAATTTTAAAATATTTTTTAAAGAGGAAAAATTATAATTATAATAAATAAAGTAAAAGTAATATTAAAATAATAAATAAAACTACTGAAAAAATTAATTTTATTTCTTTTTTTATTTCTATTCTCTCTTTTTTTTGTATTTTTTTTCTCAAAACAAGTGTAATACATCTTCAAAATCAAACCTTTATAATTTTTGAATTAAATTTGACGAAAAGTGAAATAAATTATCACATGAGCATACGAAAAGTGAAAAAAATGGTGGATCCCATTTCAATGGGTGAGAGGATCATAAGATAATTTGGATTGTCTTACTCAAACTTTGAAGAAGGTGGCATGAATTGGGATAAGCCTTATTTTGGATAATAATTTCTAATCATGATAATGACATTTTATTATTATAAAAACTGGTCAAGATTTTAAGGCTCAACCAAGATAACATCTTTTTCATTCTTTCTAACCAGTTAATCAATAATCAAGAACTGTTAAATGTTACTTTCAAATCATTTTTCACACACCAACATTGAAAGGAAATGAGTGGTTGAATAATTTCAATCATTACTTAAAACATTATTAAAAAAAAAAAGTGAATAAATCGTACCATATATAATATCATTAAAAACTTGAATTCTAATCATCAATTATTACAGTGTTTTATCATCTTTGAAGCAAAAATTATTACTGTTTAAATTATGATGAACAATATATGTAGAAAATCAGAAGCTATATATTGCATATATTGTAAGTTTAATATTTTGATAGAAGTTTAAGTCTTTTGTTCTATTTTATATTCGTTATAATATAATATGATTATAATTAATTTTCATGATTGAAGTGTGAAATTCTAATTTTTATTTTTAAAAGATATATAGTAAGTTGAGAGAAAATAATATTAATAAATTATTTTTCGATTCCTAAACAATAGACAAAAAGAATAATATTTTAATAAAAATGAATTTGAATTATTTTTATTTTTAAAATATAAATATTTTAAGTAATGAAAGATAAACATTAAAAAAAAAAATCTCTATATGTTTTGAGTGTCGTGATTTGTTTATGTGTACAGATTCTATATATTGCTTACGAGAAGTAGCTGTTAACAGTGGCGGAATATTTTTAAATTATTTACATATTTATTATTGTAGTTTCTTTAAATTTTAAACAAAATTAAATTTAATTATTTATTGATTTTGAGTTAATATAAATAAAATATTATATATAATTTTAATTATGTTTACTTTTTTATAGATATTAAAAAATAATTAAATATATTAAATAAAATATTTAAAATGTATTTTATATTCTGTATTTTTTTATATTTCTTCATTCGTTTTATATGTTATTCGAAGATCCTAATTATTAACTTAATTTAGTTAACTAAAAATAAATTCTTCAAGAGTGTATTATCTCATGAAAGATTTTTCAACCACTTTATTTGGACGAGATTTCCTATAAATTTATAAGAATTTTTTTTTATAAATTAAAATTAACTTTCATACATTAATAGAAATATATATATATATATATATATATATATATATGTATATAAATTTTTATAAATACTAAGTTTTTAATATAACTTTAAAAATATAAAACAATATTTACTATCATATTAACTTTTGTTTTGAAGAAACATATTTTAAAAAGTTATATTTTTTTTATTTTTATATTATTATTATTACTATTATTATATAAATATAACGTGCCTATAATATAATTCAAATAGATCAAAGTTGTGAAAAAGGAAAAATTTTAAATGTTTTTATTGTAATAAGAGAGTGCATGGCCAAAAATATTGTTAGTTAAAAAGAATTTTGAAACATTAACTTGAAAACGTTGTGTTGCTAATAATAAACATTTTGATTAACAAAACAATAATAAGTTTTAAAGATAAAAAATAGTTTAGTGATGATGGATAGTGTTTACATACAACATGATGTATGACTTAACTCTATATTAAAATTGATTTTACACTAATGAATCTATCTTAAGATTTGTTAATGGAAAACAATCATTCAAATTGTTAAAAGATATGTTTTTCGAAAATATATTACAAGAAACAAATATTTGTTTCAACATCAAGTCAAGAAGAAGTGATCATAGATTTGATTATATGTTAGAGTGAGGTATAAAAATTCTTGAAGAAGTAATCAATTACCTAAGCTTAAAGAAACTTTTTTTATCCTTTTGTAAACACTGTGTGTTAAACAAACAACTTATATTAAATTTTATTATTGTAACTACTAGGACTAAACACATATTTATTTGACTTGCTTCATAATGATATGTTAGAATCATTGATATTATTGCATGTAAGGAAATTATTTGGATCAAACGGTTAATATAAGAATTCAAACATAATTAATAAAAGATATATGGATATTGTGATTCTGAGAGAATTTTACGTTATAAATAATCCTCGTTTCTTTTTTGATAGAATACATTGGGACATAATACCATTGTTTTTTTAGAACTAGTAGAAAAAAATAGTATAAATATATAAAAGATACACATCAATTAAAACTTAGTAGATATTACGACAGAACCAAGTAATACTAATAAGTTTTTATAAGATCAATTTTATTATGATGCATCACAAAATACACAACATATATCACAACAATAATAAAACATAATGTGGGAATTTGATTAATTTAATCAAATTTTAAAATGAAAGAAGGTAAAAAGAAAAGTTTCACCTACTATAAATTATTATACTTACATTTCTTATTATAAAAAAGAATGTATATTTTGTAAAATATCAATTTTTTTTCTTACTTTAAAGAGAAAAAAAAATTTCTTTTAATTTATTCTAGTATTCATATTTTTTTCATTTATAAGAGAGTGCTATTGTGAACTTCAAAACATACGTGAAAAGTTGAGTGTGATAATAAATAAAATTAACTATTTTTTTAAGTATTTAATCTTTTAATAATTATATATTTTTTATAAATTTATTTTTATCATTATAAACTATTTTTATTTTTATTTTTTCTGTATCATTTAAAAATTATTTTGCAAAATAATGGTATAACTAATTTCTTTTTTATTTTAATAAATAAAACAATTATAAATTAATTATTGATGAAATACAAATAAGTGATATATTTTATTAAGATCCATCTAACAAATCAAACAAATTATCCTGAAAAGTTGTTTATAAAAATACTTAATTTTAAAAGAGTAAAAATAATTAATGAAACTTGTTTATAAAAATAGTTAAGTTTAAAAGAGTATGTGTTCAAACGATAAAAATATACGTATTTTTTTCTAAATTGTAATACCTTTACACTAAAATTTATATGAAAAAAATAACATATTAGTAATAATAAATATTTTTAATTAATTCTTAAATATAAATAATTACCTTAAGAAATTGTACATAGCTCACACTCACGTGCCCTACATTTCTAGTATAATGACACTAGCACCCTTTTTAGTGTTTAAGTAAATATTCATATCAAATTTTTAATCAAAGACATTAATTTTATTTTTATAAACTTATACTCACATTCTTTAACTTATTTAGAAATGACATACAAACAAAAACTTAAAATAAAATATTAGAAAAATTAAAATATAAAAACTAAAATTTTTTTATAAACAAAAGTAAAATAATTTAATTATCGTTATGGGATATTACACTCATCTCTCTTGAGCCTTTTATATAACATTCTTTATTTAAAATACACATTGACCCTCCTTTGCTATTAATAAAATAACACTATTTCTTTTTATTCTATTTTATATTTATACTTTTATTAAAATATACATAAGTATAATAATACGTTGATAATAAGTTCATAAATTTAATCATATTTTACAGTATTTTTATATTAAAATAATGTTTTCTCAAAAATATAAGTTTTATAGATTTACAAGACAACTAAGTGACAAATATTTTATGTTAATATATAATAGTTAAATCAAATTGTAATAATAAAGTCTTAAAATTTTAATTTTTATATATTTTAAATTAATAAAAGGAGATAAGTATAAAGACGGTAAAGATCTACTTAAAAACTAGGAGAAATATATCAATTTATTCCAAAACATGAGAAGATGAGGGCGTATAAAAACTAGAACAGACATGAGTGAATTAACGTAGCATTAGTACAATTTCCCCCATTATATTAATATTTTTCAATTATTTATATATTTAACTAGATGACCATGAATCTTAATGAATCGAATCCCAAATCTTAATGAATCGAGTCTTAAAGCAGACGAATAAGAAAACAAGCCCATTGATGTCTGTACTTAAGCAGATGAATAACAAAACAGTGGATGAAAATGTCAGCGTAAATTCAAGTGTTGGTTGAAGAAAAGTTAACCCTTCAACCCAGCTTGCATTTTTAATTTTGGCATCTTCATCCCAAAGTAAATCAGCATTCACCAATGAGAACACGGGTCACTTATGGTTCCCTCCCGGAAATAGACATCAACAGAATAAATCGATGGTGAAAAATATATCAAACAAGAATAAAATCATAAAAGTAGCGTGTTATACAAGGTGAATGGAGCATATATCCCAACAAAAGAATAGCAATCCACCGCATCAATTATGTCGTTTCTTCAATTTTTGCTAGTTGTCCAGAATGTTTTCAATGGTCTATCAACGCAGTTTCTGTCTCCGAGAAGGGGGCTGCAAATACAACAACAATTTCCTAACTCAATTAACCAACATATGAGGTTGCATACAAAACATAACTCCAGGTTTTGCTCCCCCACAAAAATAATTTTATTCAAGTTTTCTCATAACTTTACGCCTCAAAAGAATATGTATCAATTCATTATACTTGATTAAAATGTTTTTTCTTTCTGTAAAAGATGGGGAAAGGACAACCTTTTTGAAGGAGGAAGAATAAAGACCAAACATAAAAAATATATTTAAAAAACACTCCTCCCCGCCAAAGTTCACTTCCTGTTCTGTACTGTATCTCAAAGTAGCGAAGCATTAAAAAAAAACAGGTGATATAAGAACCAAAACAGTGTCAAAAAATTCAACATACCCAGCAAGTCTTCAAATGAATCTGTCAAAAGTGATGAATCCATTAACAGAGGCGGTGAGAAGACTTGATCCTGTGCATCCTCAAAGTCAAAAATTGACCGTTGAGCATCAGATGTTGAATTTGAACCAGCATAGGACAGAAACCCATTTACATTGTCATAATCAGAAAGCCTTTCCAAATCATTCAACATATCTGGAAGTTCATCAAACTTGCTCACCCCATGCCCACCGGATGCATGACTCTCAAGCAAGGAGTCATCCATTTGTGATCCAAATAATCTTTTTCTCCTCAATGAAGCTCCCCTTTTTTCTGCATCTAAATGAGAAAAGCCGGTTTCTGAAAGAGGGACAAAGAAGTGCTCAGAACTTCCATCAGATTGACTATCCCTTGACGAATCTGAGTTACATGACCGCAATGACAGTGCTGCTTCTCTTACTGACCTCTTCAAATTCTGGATATACGAACTGTCACTATCTACAAAACAAAGCCATTATCAGCCAGTGTCCAACACAATGATGAAATGCCCTTGAAAAATATCATAAGCTTCAATATAAACTTACGCTATTTGGTGATCCTAGCCTAAGAATAATTTTATATCTCTTAACATAACAGCTCAAGCAAGAGTTCTTTAAGGATAAGCATGATCGGTGCACAAGATCACTGTCCTTTGTGCTGAAGCTTAATCGAATTATGAAGAATGGAATAGTGGAGAAAAGGATTGAATTCCAAACCACTTGGTCATAGAGGCCTTTTGATACCATGTTAAGGACCAAGTCTCCTAAAACACTACGACAAAGGGCTATGGACAACAAAGCATACCTTCAGCTGAACTCACTACTTCATTATTTGAAGGAGGATCCAGCAATTTGCTGTCAGATAGGTTCTCTGTTTGGCTGGTTTGAGGAGCATTACTCTGCCGCCTTTGGACATTTCCAGCTTTTCCAGAAGATGGGGTCAAGCTAAACAATTGAGGAAGCTTCAAAGCGGGAGGACTAACAGAAACCTTGTCAAGCTGAATGTTAGATAATCTTGAAGTCACCTCATTAACATCATCAGTATTATTGTCCTAAACAACATTAGGTGATATGGAAAAAACCAGGGGTCAAAATCAGACATGGTTTGTGAAGGGATTAAAACAATAATAACATTATACTAGAATAGAAGAATACCATTCTCCCACTACTTTGTGACTGGATAGGGGACGTTGACCGACCATTGTGTTTGCTCATTGGAGGTAGATTTGAGGCTATACAGTTAACCTTTTCTGTACACTCTGATATGGACTTCTGTATGGTTGGAGCAACGTCCTTAAGTTGGTTAATAAGCACCTGCAAATTAAACATGCAATAGAGTGAAATTCGTAGAGAGGAATCTTTCTAGTATAGGAACAACATTTACAGATCAACACTGTACATGATACCCAACTCATTCAGCAAAAAATGGGAAAGCAAAGTTGGCTCAAAATATACATCAATGTTTAAGGGTAAAACCAGTAGCTAACTTATAAAGGGAATGCAACTCCTTCATCACCAGTGCTATTTGCTGAATAGCATGGAACCAAGCTAACTTGTATTTTACTCATCCACTTACATCAATATGTACACTGCAGACACGCAGTAATAATTATGTACAAGAAGCTGTCAGCAAACAAGGAAAATAAACGATCTGTTTGCATCTTAAAGATACAGTCCACTAACTAAAAAATGTAAGATTTTATGCATAAACTCATATATAAAGGGTATGCTAAAAGGATCTCAACAAAACGTTTTGTCCACTTTAAGCAATACATCCCCAAGCAAAGTAAATTTTCCAGCAAATAAATGTAACTTTATGAACAATTAAAGACCCAAAAAGGTCAATTAACTAAGTAGTGTCAAAAATATTAAGGACACTTTCTACTTCGGCATATTTGCATCAAGTTGGTCTAGAAGCTTTATCACAGGAAAATGAGAACTAAAAAATGAAGCTGCATTAGAAAGCACTTCAACCATAGTAGAATATCGCTGATTTTAAAACATCGTTTAATGCATTACCTGGAAGCTAGCTAAATGTTGCTGATGCTCTGCAAGGGTTGCTGCCAAAGACTCAGCATGGCCACTTGAACCCTCTTCCTGTCCACTGCGCAATATATCTGGACCCTCTCCATCATTTGCTTTTGCCTACAGATCACAGTATGGTTTAGATGTTTTTTTAAGCAATAAATAAGAGAATAACAAGATATGACATGAATTAACCAACTACTACTAGGCATTGTTATTCTCAACTGAATAATGAAGAAAATAAACATGATGAAGAGAAGAAGAATCATAATTATTTAATTACAACAATAAATAATAATTGACCAAGTATTTGGAGCAACAAAGTTTGATTAGCTTAATTTTCCAAGTTTGGACTAGAAAAACAACAACTATATTATTACAAACACATCACAAAAAACTAGGGAAAACTTACTCATTAACCAAACAGCATATGTTAAGTAAAGAGCTTTTATATAATTTTCCTTAGATATTTACTCAGAAATACAATGCCTGCAGAAATAAAATGCTAGATAGCTATATGGTAAGATAAAAATCAGGTATACCCAAGGGTTGACAAAAACAAGATATTTTTCCGAGAATATGACCAAAGCTGCTTGGTTTCTCATACGAAAAACAAAACCATTTGGTTAATGCAAAACTTGAAGGATACAGGAACCCGGAAGACACAGCAATGGTCATAAGTAACATAAACAACTTTCTTATCTCAGAATGTTGGCATCTCAATTTATGAACCCAAAACATATCACAGTATCACCATATTCAGATGCTAACTGCTAATAAAAAATAAAAAATAGAGCACAATTATGAAATGCTTGAGATAATCTGTTTTAAGTTCTGGAAGTTCTTTCTCATTAAGTTCTATGCTCAAAATGTTCAAATTTACTAATGATTCCTGTTTATAAAAGCAGTTTATTAAACCATTTCTCAACCCTTATCACTAATAAACATAAAACAGTGTTTTTTTATTACATATATAGCTACAAAATGTAATACCAGGTACTTTACACTTGACATTTAAACCTCACCCCCTTTTCTCGAAATGGATCAAAAAATGAAAAAACAAAAACAAACAAGAGGACATAAGGGATATAAAGCAATGTCATCCACTAAGGTTTGACATCAAAGCAGCAAAGGGAACCCTGATTCCCTGCCTCAAAGCCTGCATGACATGGGTTCTACAGGCTAACCAGCAGATGACTCTGGCAGCCAACAATTTTAGTACGGAACACTTGGTCATTTTATTTTACTCCCTTTTTTCTCATATTCATTTAACAGTTTTAGCTTTTAATGATCATTTAGGTGTCATGAGTGAAAATAATATGCTAGAGTGTGAACTTTGATTGTCTAGCTCAATGCTACATCTTTTGGGAATAAACAAATGAGGATTTATTGATTCTTTTCTTCATTGAAATTAACAGACTGCCTCATATCCAAAATAGACCCAGTTATAGGGCTCACCTTTGGCTTCAACAAGAGAATGTCAAATTCAAAGTTGAGCTTATCCCTATCAAGAAGAAAGGAATTATAAAATCATACCAAATGAAGTGATTGTTTGTGGATCCGCTGCAAGGCATGGGTCCATCGCCGTATAACCTCTGCTACATCAACAATTTGGTGGACTCTTCCACCGGTTCTGTCATCCACTCTTGTTAATGTCTCATTGCTAAAATGTGATCCATCATTCTCTTCTTTGTCATCAATCACAGGCAAATCCCCAGGCTGACCAGATAATACATCTGAATAAGGAGCTTGAGAACTTTGGTCCATTGCTGCAAGCAAAGATGATCCAGAAATCCGATACCTGAAAGTTTTGTATAAAATAGATAGCTGTTAAATTTGGTCTACATGTATTGGAAAGGCAAGGCAAGCTACATTACTACATTACCGATGTTCTCGATGAGCTATCAAGTCCTCTATAGGCCCAGATGCAAGAACTTCATGTTGACCTGTATCAAAAACTCTATCATCATAAGCTACTCCTTTTTATAACAGTTAAAAAATGATATAAAAAAAAGAGGATTGTAGGTCGTGGAGAGACAAAGCAAGGAACCTTAAGATCTTAATTTAAAGGGATACCAATGCCAATGGGTTATCATCAACACTCATCATTGAAAACATAACGTGCATGCATATCAGAAATGGCATGAGCATGTTAGAATACAATGAGAATAGCAGAAACTTACAATTACTCGATTTATTAATACAAAAATACAATTGTAAAGATATAACCTACTCAAACTCACTAGAATTAGATTATCCATTAGACATAGAAAGAGAAAGTGCAGTATGTTATTCTTTGCACTTACTTTTACGGGCTAATAAAGACTCCCATAGTCGGGTGGCCTTTGAAACTAAATGGGAATTCTGACTCGAACTGGAGACGAGATCATCCCAAAGCTCTCCTTCCAACTTCACTTTATTCCTCAAGTCATGCAGTTTTTCTAATTCTTGTTGCAAATATGCCTGAATTCAGTTTTACATTATAATTGCATAAGTGGCAACAAACACATAAGGAATATTCCTTATAGGAGAGAGGATATGAACTATATTCATAGTATATAACATATGCAAGCTGGATTTGGTACATATTCTTCCGAAATTGGTATACCTCTTCAGCACATAAGCCACGGAATTCAGCTGTCATTTCATGAGCCAAGTTTGACCACATAGCTTGTCGTTGTACAGCCATCTCTGCATTTTTAAGAAACTTTCTTCTTTCAAGGGCTATTCTTGCCTGTTTAAGACCAAAGATTCAATTGAGTTACTTAAAGACCAAGTGGAACAAACAAAATAGGAACATGAAAGATAAACAAATAAAGCAAAAAACAAAAATTCTTTTCTTACCCATTTCAATCAGTGTGAACATAAGAAGTCAGAGGAAACACACAAAGACATCGTATTATTGATACTTTGTAGGACTTCAGATTTAAGAAGAAAAAAAAACACACAAAAAGGAAAATAATTATTTGTGTGAACAGTCAAAATGACCATTTTGCATTTTTATAGTAAACATGCCAAACTATTCATATAATGGCATCAATTACAAAACAAATGCACATATTCCACATAATGATAGTCACTTCATTCTTCACTAAATTTTTTATGGAATACCACCATTACCTTTGTAACTGGAAGTAGAGTAGCTGCATGTGAGAAGGCTACATCAGTCAATGGCGCAGGCAACGGGTTAGAAGATATGTCTGCAGTAAATGTCCTTCGATGAACTTCTCGTAAAGCATGCAAAGAAAGTTGCCATAGAAGCTCAACAAACCTACGTCAACATATACACTCAAATAACTTAATAACTGTCTTCAACAAAATTCAAACAATGAGCTTCCATTACCATCTTACCATATGAAACTACAATTACAACATAGCAAACGCTTTAACTCGCATGGTCGGGTGAGCCCTCTATGGCTCCAACAGTCATAAACCAAGTCTTCAGATCAGTCCTTTTTAATGGTTCACCTACTGCTTTTCTTGATCCCTCTTTACGTGTAACATCTTCCACCATATCAGCTATTCTTCTTATGGATTTCTAACAGTCTTCTTCTCACATGACCAAATAATTTTAGGCAAGATTCTAATTCCACCACCACTCAAAGACATTAACTCCCAATCTTGTCTTGCATGTTCACTCATCCACCACAGCGTCCTCATATCTACAACACTTAGATTATACTCTTTTTATCTCTTTACCGACCAGCATTCAGTATCCTAAACCAAGGATTTTAACTTTAATAGTATAGCATTAGGTAATATTTAGGGGAAAAGTCTCAGTCACTCTATGCCTCCAACTACTTTGTTCAGTTTCTCAAAATAACTCTGAAACAGTCAGCAGATTACGAATTGCCCATGATTTCACTGAATTCACCAATATATATTATATTCATCAACAATGCACCAATTTACAAAACAATTTCCTAAAAAGGCAAAACCCTTGAATCAAACTAACTTTCCTCCTACTCACAGGGATCAAGACAGCCAACAACAGAAAAACACAAATCAACATAGCATCACGCAATCAATCACACGCAAACACTAACCTAGGTCCACAGCATGTAGCAAGTGAAGAAACCCTCGAATTACTCCTCGGTAACGCTCCCTGCGACTCAAGCTCGCTAATAATCCCTTGCACAACCTGTGGCAGCGCCATGAGAACACATTCACTCAAATTACATAAAAAAAAAAATAGAAGAAAAAAAAATTGACATACCTTGCGAAAATCACGCGACTGCGCGGAATCGAAAATCGGCCAGACCTTGTCGAAATCCTGAGAGATCGAGAAAGCGAGGGTTAGAGTTAGAGCGAGAGATCATAAGGAAAACGAGAGTATCAATTGAGACACACCTTGGCGGATTGAATTGGACCTCTGAGAGAGGAAAGGATGAAGTAGAGAAGCTGTTCCCCCAATTTAGGGTTCGAGTGACGGAAATGTCCTACCCGAGGAGTCGCGTTGGAAGCTCCGACTCCGATAATCGCCGGATCCAGTCCCAACAACAAGCAATTCGTGTACATTGCACTCTCGAGCTCTATCTCTCTCTCCTTCTCTCTGTCCATCGTCATCACCTTCTTTCACACACTCTCTCTCTCTCTCTCTCTCTATTTATCTTCTTATTCTTCTTCTTCGCTGTTCTCTCTGTGCTTGTTTCGGTTGCTTCTTTTCCTTCTCTCTGATCCTGGTCTATCGTGTTGTGGAATTGTGTTTTCGTTTTTTTTATTTTTGTTGTTTTATATATTCGGGGGTGGAGGTCCCTGGGAAAATGCGAAATTGCGGAGCGGTACCGTAATTTGAAAAGCACGGGTGGATTCGGAATTTCAGGAAGTTTGGGTTTTGTTGATTTGGATGACCGCTTGGGGAAAGGAAATACGACGTCGTTCGCAGCCGGCCCGATTCTATCGTTGCACGTCTTGTCGTTTCGGGTTACGTGAGGTGGAGTGTTTCATCGTGCTTGGGACCCAACTGTGGATTAACGAACGCTCTTACTATTTCGTCGAATTTCAAAACATAGATGCTTTTCTCTTCAAAAATTATACCACTTTTGTCAGGAAAAAAATATTTTATACCACATAATGCTTACTTATTTATTAGTTCAATTTGGTCATGGGATATTTTTTGGTTTTAAGTTTCAAAATTTTTAAAAATCATAATTATATTTTTATTTATGATATTTTTAGTTTTAAAATTACTTTTTTGTTAATTTAATGTCAAAATAAAGACAATTTAGTATTTTAGTTATTAGCTGTTATTTTTCCTATCTGATTTCTCGTATCAAGTTGCTGTGTCGAAATTGCAAGTTCAATTCAAGTAATGAAAGCATCACTTCAATAAAAAGTTATGTAAAGAAAGATAGATATTACCAGTGTATGTTACTTCTAAGGTACCATTTGGATAACACAGTTAGATAATACAAGTGTTAGATAATAATTCCATTTTAATCATTACAGTTATATTAAAAAGTTTAAACATTAAATTCAAACTCAGATATTTATACTTTACAACTTTTTAAAATATTTAATATAGAATTATATCATTATATTTGCCGAGGAAACTTAAATCCACTAAGTCAACATTTGACTAATCAATTCAACATTTGACTAATCAATAACTTTTTTTATCTTTTAATTTTCTCTATATATGCATAAACATAATCCAATTTATTTCATATTTTATTTTAAATACTCTATACAAATTTTGTTACATTTCATTTTATTTATGTAAACATATCTTATTTTTCATTTTGTCCCACTTTACTTAAGTTGATGCATGTCTTATTACTTTATTAATCATAAAGTAATAATCATAATTATAATATTAATTTAAGTATATTTTACAACAAAATACTTTATATAAGTGTTTCTGGTGAAAATTTGAATGATTTCGATTTATGGGGAGTTGAGTCCTAATTAAATCTCGACCACGTAGATTCTTTTTACTTGGGCTAGCAACTAATTTTCAATCAAAAGTGCATGAGAATCGAGAAACCTAAAACCTCGAAAAGATACAAACCACATGACCTAGAGTGCAGATCGATGATCAAAAGTACTATTTTTAGTGTTTTTTATTAAGTAACGTGAAGGAAAGAAAACAGTAAAAGTGTATCGAATCGAAAGAAACAATGCAGAATGTTAAATTGCAAAAATTGTAAAGTGCGGAAACCTCAAATTGCATTAACTGTAAATAGCAAGAAATCGCAATTGCATAAACGTTAAATGACAAGAAATCAAAATTGCATAAACGTTAAATGACAAGAAATCGAAAATACAGAAACTTAAATTGCACCAAAGGAAAATTACATGAACATAAATTACCAGGGAAAATAAAGAAAGTGATAAAGGCAGTCAATGAAAATGGAAATCCAGATCGCCAGAAACTTCATGATTTCGTCGTTCTCCGGTAGACTTTTCACTAACGCTTTTGTTGTCTCTGCCAATTTCCCCTCTTTTCTCAGTCTTCGCTCTATTTATAGAGCATCTTTCAAGTAACCTCCCAAGAGTGGTTAATACCACTATCACCACGATCCTACGTGCCCGTTCCTTTAGTCTTACAATTTTAAAACTGCACTCCACGTTCTTACGTATAAGAGAACTGCTCCTCCTTCGATTTCTGTCGCGGTTTAGAAACTGTTTCCCACGATGCCTGTGTGTGTTAACCGCTCCCTCGATCTCGATTTCAGACATCGAGTATTTTAAATTTTGCTTTTGATTCCCTTTAATTTTGTACTATTCTAACTTCAACAATAGACATCGAAATTTGTTTCTTCGATTCTCGATTTTGATTCTCGATATACTTTTACTTTTGTGGTTACCAGCTTTTGCCAATTTCATCGAAAATACGTTCTCGATGTCTTTTACCAATCGTATGGTCTTCGATTTTTTCTTTCCTTCGTTTTTCGATCCCTTTATCGATTTCCCATTAACAGAATGTCCCCTTGGAAGAATATAAAAGTTTGTATTTATATTCTTTCAACATGATCCCCGCCTTTTGGAGGCCCATCAGAACTTAGGGTTTAGGGTTGCTGGGGTTTTAGGGTTTTTTCCACTTTATGTCACCTATCATGTCAGTTCTGTCGTCTCACTGCACACGCCACATTAATTACCCTTCACCTCCGTCGCTTCCAGTACCCTAGTGGGTTTCCTTCAAACGTTTGTTAGCTTTTTACTCTTGTTTTTACACGAACTTTTACTCCTCCTTTACACCTTCGTCTTCTACCTTGCACCTTCGTCCTCAACCTTGCACCTTTGTCCTCAAACCTTCTGTTTTCCTCTGCTCTACCGGCTAGTGAGATGGCAACCTCATCCAAATCCTCTGACTTTTCCGCCCCACCACTTCCCTCGTTGGCCTCTAACCTGCTAGAGATTAATAACCAGAAATTTGCTCCAGTTCCTTTGTTGGAGGAAGCTTCTCAGAAGGTTGCTGAGACGCAGGTACTGATTCCTTACACTGCTGGTGATGTAAATTATGCTTTTGGGGGTCCTATCCGTTCTTGTAGCGGATCTTTTTCTTCCATCAATCTTTCTTCAAAGAGTCAGGCTCTCATCATCAATCTGAAGTTCAAATAGATTTCCTGCAAATCGTGTCCAAAGTGTATCGAACGGGCCCACCCCACAAAAAACCCTCATTCATTAGATGGTTTGATCGAGTTAAGGCTAAGTTTGGGAACCATTGGAGGGCTGTAGGGATTTTCGATTTTCTGCATTTGTCTCAGTATGATTTGTCTTTTTTGGATATGTCCATGTTTTTATCTGCCGTTCACTTCTGGAATAAGGACATGCATGCGTTGGAACTTCCATGTGGCCCCTTTTTGCCCACCCTTTTCGAATTGCTGCCATTACTAGATTAAAGCCCATGGGAGAGAAATACTATAAGGGGGCTTTCCCTTCGGACAACTCTTTAAGATCGAAAATTGATTGGGAATCGAAGGCCTATGGGCATTTTCTCGAGAAGCACTTCGTCGATGATCAATCAATAGCTGTGACTGATGAGGAGCATGTAGCTTTTCTGGTGTATTGGTTATGTACCCATGTCTTTTGCCCCTGATCCATCCAAATTCCATCCCACCTTTACAACCTTGCCTATCTTCTCCACACTGGCCCACCACAAATAAATTTAGCAAAGTTATTATTGGCTCATGTTTATACTGCTTTTGATGAGGCCGTCGATATTTTGAACACCCCTAGGGCCTCGGGAAATTTTTCAGGTCCCATTTGGTTTATCCAATTGTGGCTAATCTCGATTTTCGAAAGTATCCTCCCCCCAACCTCCCAGATCCCCCCAAGTTTAAATTTAGAGGGTGCTCGATTATCTTCTCGTCATCCCCGCCATAAATCCGACGAGATCACCTATCGTAATTACCTTAGATTTTTGTTAACCCAATTTCATTTTGGTCTGCATTTGGCTCCTTTTACTGTGAATCTTGGACGAATAAGCGACCAACTTCGAGGACCAGCATGGTTTAAATCGAAATTTCCTGCTCTTACGCCGGGACTGCAGTCAGAATTGGTCGAAGTATGGAGCAATTATTTGACTCAAGATGTGTTAGTATCGGGTTTTCATTCAAAGGACCTTCAGCTTGTCACTTATTACCCTCAGCTTTTCTCGAGGCAGTTTGGTTTTAGTCAAGCCTTACCTTTTTTCCCCCTCGATACCTCCCCAAGGTCCAAGTTAAGTGAATCGACAATCGGACGGGAGCTCACTAAACTGTTGTCAAAAACCCCGATGCATTTTTATCCTTATGTTTTTTAATCCAATTATTTATCAACTCTAGGTTTCTCTTAGTGGTGGGCTGATTGGTTTTCGAATAATCATTCTGATTTTGACATAGTTTAACAAAAATTGACTGCTCATCCTTCTCTCGTGTTGCAGGACAAATCGAAGGCGAAGAAAGGTACACACTCCCACTATCTCCAAATATCTCAGTTTGAAAATTTTTATCGAGTCTGTTACAACCCTTTGAAATTAGAATCGACCTTTTATGATGCTGTTATTTCCTTAGCCAATAAAACAGACATTAATCGATTAAACCATAAAATAATCAATCCCCGAGGTAAAACCCCTTTTGAAATGTATTGTCCCGATCACCTTCCCACTTTTCCCACAGCTCCTTTTGGACTTTCCAAACCTTTAACTCATCCTAAATGGGTTCGAGAGTTAAGATCTTTTAAAGAAACTCTTTACCCTAAACCCAAAAACAAAGATATTTCGATATCAAAATTATCCTACTTCCCTTACCTAAACCTGATTCACTTTGGATTCTCATACATATTTCTTTGTCATTTATTTTCGATTTCTAATTTCAGAAACAAAAATCGAAGAGTCCTCGATCTGTTCCACCAACTGTTGTTAATCCATTATCGACGGACTCTAATACGGTCACCAAAACGGGCCAGACAACACCCACCACACATTCAAGTCACGTGAGTCCCCTTTTTTATTCAAATTTTATATCCCTAGATTTTGACAAGGCCCATAACATGATTTTCGACTCTCGATATTTTTCAGGATCATCCATCGGCGACTATATCGACGAATGTCGATTCCATACTTCAATCAACAACAC